AAAACATCAAGAATTTTGTTAAGTTTTGTGATTCCAACCGAAACTTTGAAATAGCATTTTGCTTATAATATCGTATTATTTATCCATTTTTTGATTGCATTTCTTATATTAATTGTGTTGTTATTACTCGAGTTTATTTCAATTACTTTTTTATTTAAATATTGATATCAATAATGAAATCTTTATATTTTATCTAAATATAAATATAATATATAAATAATACTATTTCATTTTATTTTAATAGTTCCCAAAATAACTTTATTTATGGGTTTTAATTTTTGTGAACATTTTAATAATTAATAAATTAGAGTAAAGTTATATAAATGTAATGAAATAACTACGAAATGAGTTGAGATAGCATTTATGGAAAGCTTTGTTTGTAGTGTTATTATCGCTGTATTGCGAGGAGATTATGCAAATTGGTCGCGACTTTCATTTCCTTAAATAATTTTAAGTATTTTATTGCAATTATTTTCGCATTTATTTGAAAACAACTCTGAACTCAAATCAAAGAAAGAATGTCACAAATGAGTTATTATATGCAGATTATCTCGTATGAAAATGTGAACCAACTTTTGTCTAATTCATTGTTCGCGTTATTTGTTTGGCTCACAATTATATGCTTCCACACATTGTGTACATCCAATTAGATTGCATTTGCAATTAATCTTAGTTCTTGAAAAACTTTTTTCAAATATTGCTTTTTATAGATCACTGTTTTTCGGTATAAAATTGTCTTTAAATTTTGGTTTTCAGATACAGTACTGTAACTCTCATTCAATTCCTATATCTATAGCACTGGACTGCAATCATACAAACCATGATTTGTATGATTGTATTCGCAATAAAATGCATATCTATTTGAGGCCTAAATAATGGCAATATTTAATGTTTGTCTTTTGCTCACTTGTCTCTAATGGTTGCAAAAACTGAATAACTGAGTGCTTGGAAGCGACTATTTGTTATAAATTTTATTTATTTAAATGAGAAATATATGCAAATGAAGGTATAGGTGCGTCCCTACCAGCCTCAGCTCAATGCTGTTCACCACTGCATATAAATTATTAGATTTCCATTAAGTTATTCCTCTTATAAGTCCAATTGATTTTGAATTTAATTATAAATAATATTCATAAATGAGTGCCGAATTTGAATTGTCGCTGGAATGTGACTTAACTTGAATAATACCCGTCCCCTGCCGTCCCCCTCTTTTCTCATTTAAATATAATAATTATCAATATTTATATAAAACACAATTATCGATCAAACTTAGGCTTAATTTTGTTTTTATTCATTTTAAGTCTACAGAAATGCAATAAAAATTCTTGAATAAAACGCTTCTGTGATATTGATTTGCTCGCTAATCACTAAATAATAACATTTTTCAAACATGATTTTGTATAACAATCTCAATTATAATTAGAAATTTACAATAAAAATGCAATAATTTTTTTAACGACCATTTTATTGCATTCATATCAATAAATTATTTAAAATTCTGTATTTTTAGTCAAGTAAATTACTTTTTAAACTAATCTTAAGTATCAAGCATGCATATATTTTAAATATGAATTCTGATACAAACAATCTATTTAAATATATTAATGTTTTGTAGATATTTAATTGCTTATTAATATATTTTATAATTATAATAAATATAGAAAATAGTATAAATAAAAATTTGGAGCATATTAACAAATAATTAAAAAATACTTGAATAGTGTATAAAACTTATGACTTGTGAATAACACGACATAATATGAATTAAATAGGATTTGTTAAGGAATCCAATTATTTAATCGTTGATTAATTAGTTTGAGGCAAATAATAGTATCGGAGCTAATATTGAATTACGAAGAATTTGATACAAGTATTTATTGTATTAGATAGAGAGCCTGAACCAGAATATTCATTAACATTTGTGAACACCTCCTTAATTATGAGTGGTGTCTACTTTCTAATGATCGATGGGGTAACTAAGAGACTACTATTGGGAGTATGTTTGCAATGGGCGGCAAATGGGAGAGTAGTTCCTACATGTAGTTCCACTTTGAGTGCACCTCAATCTCATCATATGTTGTTATTATACGCTCATAATTGACGCCAAAATTGAATACAACTATAAAAACAAATTTCCAAATATTTTTACATAATTTCACTAAAACTTCCAAGTAATTACAAACTAAGATATGTTACACTCATATATTGAATTGATTATGGGATCTGTCGTTTCATATTTGCTGTAAAAACACATCTAATTTGAATAAAAAGGTTTCGCATATTAAGCTATAAAAATGATATACAGCACCTGTACTCATACTGATACTACTGTTTTATATTCTGTTTTATTTAGTAACATTACTTAATAAAAACATAAATATCTTTCCAAACGATCTAAAGATAAAGGATTCATTAGTTTCCGATAAATGAGACGAAAATAAAGAATATTTAAATGAAGTATTAATTTGATAAGAAAATCTAATTAATGCAAATTTAGAGACAATTAAAAAACAAAAACTTCTTTTAACTGATTTAATTGAGAGAAGAGTTTGAATATAATTTGCAAAACAATGCACTCATTTGAATACAAAATACAGTCTATATTCGTTAAGAAAAGTATAGTACATGGGTTCTGAGACACACATAAAAAGTTAGCTTAATGTCTATATAAATGAGGAAAATTAAAATTACCATAGAAAGCAACTTAAACTCTCTTTAAAACAATATTATCATCAAAATAGTGTTACTTCTAATTATAAATATTTACTAAGAATTTGCATTAATTCGCTAAATAATTATTTAATATGAGGTAAGGGCTTAAACTATTAAAATTACTTGTTTATTAGAAAAATGGAAATAAGTAATTTTGTGAATTTCAATGTTTTACACTTAAAAGGGTTTTATGAATATTAAAAGTTTCAATAAAGTATATATTTAAATAATAAATTCTGAGAATTACATAGAATTTTCCGTTTATTAATAAGTTAGCTAATGGAGTTTCCAATATTTATTAAACTGACAAAATATTTTCTATTTGAAATTATTTAAAATTAATTTCAAGCTTATATTTTTTATTTCCATAATATGTTTATATTATAAATCGTAAAATATTTTTAATAAAATTAATATGATTTGTATATACAGTAAATTGATTGCACAAATAGAATATTATGTTTATATAAAGTTTTGCCTATTTTAATATTGCATACAACGATCCCTTTATAAGGCATTGTCTCGGATTGAGATATATAATGTAATGACATTTGTATTGAAATTCCTTAAACAAATGGACATAAAAATAGTGATTTGAATGAAAAGCATTCAATTCTGAGGTGATTACCGAAATTCTTTGGATACGAGTTATTGACTCTAATTATGTAAGAAATGTAAGAAATAAATCAAATGAAGTCTGTTTTGAAGCATCAATTTAAAGCTCGACTCGATTTGCATGTAATTAATTGAGCGAATAGTGTTCACACGCATCGATGGCTTAACCCTTATCTCTCTATTCATACACTCAATGATTGTCTAAAATAACACTTTAAGTCTTAAATGAGTTCTAATAATAACTCTTAACTATAGCTATAACTTGACCTCCAATTCAATCATAAAATTTTATCACTTTTTAAAGTCTTGTTTTTTGTCACAAAGAAATTTTCGTATCAACACATTGTCGTCAGATTTTTTGATTAGTTTATTTCAAGGATTTATAAATCAAATGAAACGAAATTAATTGAAATGTTATCAAAAAATAAGGTAATATTTGGCTTATATTTTCAGTGAAATCAAACGAAACAAAAGGAAACTACAGTTATATTCAAATAAGAATTAAAAGTAAAGAAAAAATTTTATATTGTAATAAGAATTTTTTGTATAACTTTTTGAACAGGGGAATATATAGAAGATTTATAGGAAAATTATAATAATACCAGTGAATAAAAGCTATAAACAATATAAACTATATATGATTTAGAATAATTTGTTTTTAATTATATAAAATTTTAACTATTTTATAGTTATTTTTGATAATATTATTTGACTCCAAATTATATGATTAATGAGATAATGTGTTTAAAATATAAATATTAAGCGTAATAAATTAAATTGTTTAAATATAAAATTAAAAAATTATTTTTAAAAAGTATTTTAAAGCTACAGTATCTAAAAATGTGACAGGACACTTTGATTCTATAATGTGTTTAAAATATAAATATTAAGCGTAATAAATTAAATTCTTTAAATATAAAATTAAAAAATTATTTTTAAAAAGTATTTTAAAGCTACAGTATCTAAAAATGTGACAGGACACTTTGATTCTTTATTTCATAACATGCTTTGTTATTAAATATTTAGGCTAATAAAAGCTTATTTTAAATTTAAACTTTAAATGAATTTTTAGATGAGATAAACCTGACCCAATAAGGTTTAATAATTAATACAATGAAGTATTAGTATAAGGTTATAAAAATCCATAATATTACATGACCATACATACTGTACTGTATATAAAATAACCATGCTGCATTACCGGAAATAATAAACCAACAGTCGCTTAAAAATTATGCATTTACTGAATTAAAACACTTAATTTTGACTATAAATAATCGACATTTATTTGGCATATATTATAATGATTTCATATTAAAAAAATCCATCATTGATAGGTATTAATCATATAAAGTTTCAAAAAAATGAAAAATTTATTTTATTAGTCACTGTCGGTCACAAAAATTTTAATTAAATAAAAGTTTAAGAAATGATTTTATATTACAAATGTGTAGAAATAGATTTGTTGAACAAAATTCAAAATAAAATGTAAATAAAAAGCTTAAGTTAAGAACATTTACAGTAAAAAATGTGTGTTTTTAGTGAATAATTTAAATTAAATGAGAATTTGATTCACTCGTCGTCAGAGTCCTCTTCACCGAAATTGTAAGTAACGGGTCGTCGCACTCGACCGGACTTCTCACGCAATTCCGGCGGTATCTCAAAGCCGTCAATCATTTCCACGTCTTTTGTTTTCTTTGAATTAAAAAACAAATTAAATTAAAACTATAATCAAATAAAAACAATATTTTTTTAAATACTTTTTTCTTTTTAGGCTTCTCTTCTTCGGATTCGGAACCACTCGAAGCCTTCTTCTTCTTCTTCGACGACGATGACGACGACGACGATGTCTTCTTCGGTTTCGACGCCTTTTTGGTCTTAGATTTTGGCAAATCGTTGTCGGAATCGAAAGCTTTTTTCGACGCTTTAGTGGCCTTTGCTTTGGGTTTTGGCTGATATTCCGGTTCAAATTCCGGTTCAAATTCATGGTCAGAATCTGAGTCAAACGCCTTCTTCGAGGCTTTTGTTGGTTTTATTGGCTTTTCCTCGAAAATGGTATCCATTTTTGGTTTACTTTGGAAACCGCTTCCAGAGCTGTCGTCGTCGCTGTGATTGTCATTGTTTTTGAAACCATTCTTCGACTCTTTAACACCATTTTGATTATCACTCGATTTGGTGAAAATCGAATCAAAGAGCTCTTCACTCGTCCTTTTGCTGGAAGTGGTCTCTGTCTTCGTAGCCGTGAAGAGGTCGTCATCGCTATCATAAACCGCTTTAGGCTTAAAATCGGTTACTTTAATGGATTTGGCGATTATGTCATCGCTATTGTCGTCATTAGTAGTCTTCTTCACTGAAATCATGTCGTCTTTTTCAACGACTCGCTCTTCTTTCGCCACTTTTTTAGGTTTACTAACGACTCGAGTGCTCGTATTCGACGGAATGTATTCGTTTTGGTCGTCATCGGTGTCTTCGTGGAAGTCGTAGTCTTCCTCTGCGTCTGCGTCTGACTCTGAGTCAGACCACGGATTCTTTCGCTTCTGATTACCTTTAGTGGAGCTCTTCTTCTTAGGAGTCGTTTCACTCTTTTTCGGGGTTTTCTTAGGTTTGAGTTTCTCTTTATTCAACTCATCCGTCAAATCGGTTATCAGTGAAGACTTAACACTGGGTTTAGTCTTCGCTCTCTTCTCATCGATGATTTGCGGCGAAACACCGATGCGTTCAGAGAGCGGTCGTCCGATGTCATCATCGCTATCGCTGTCCCGCTTTTCGGGAGTGTTTTCGCCGCCCTTTCTCTTCTTTTCGTTCGCCTTTTTGACGGCTTTGTCGGCCTTCTTGTAAGTCTCGAAATCTATCTTCGGTTCAATTCTCTCCGCAAAGTCCGATGGCTTCGAATCAATGCTTAGTTTTCCAGAAGATTTGCCGGTATTTCGGGATTTATTGGTCGTCCCTTTGGACGACAGCTTAATAGGTTTAGAACCCGCCTGTCGTTCCAACTCTTCATATGAGTCCAACTCTTGCATGAAAGCCTTGAGGTCGTCCTCCCAAAGCATTTCCGGCGTCTTTCGCTTCAAATCTTCTAATTCTCTCTTTTTGGTGTCTCTTTGCTTCAGGAGTTCGTCCACTCTTTCCCTTAACATACTTCTCATCGACATATCAAACAAGTAATCGAAATCGTATTTCTTATACTTCTTCGGGGCGTCAGAACTCTTGTCGTACGACTCAAAGTCAGACTCTTCGTCACCACTCTTATCGCCGTCATATTCCTCGGCATTCAAGAGACCATTCTTCTGAATCCAACCCTTGACTGGATCCGAGTCATAGCGTCGATCAATCAGTTGCCGAACGAAATCCTTTTTGCGTACGTTTTCCATACGAATCTTCCCGTCATTCTTCTCGAGTATAAACTTCGCCTGATTTTCAAGTTTCAGTGCCTCAGCTTCGAGTTTGCCCTCATAGTAGGCTTTCCTCTTGACGTAGTACTCGAGACGCACCGGAAAATATTCTTCGATTATCTCCTCTGGATTATCATATCGTTTAAGACATCCGTTGTGATCGAAGAGAACCATAGATGTGGTCGACATCGAAGACTGCAATTTAAATGTCTTATGAATTCCAGAATCCATTGACTTTTTAAGATTAGCTTCTGAGAGGCCCACAACGAATCTGACGCTCGATTCCGTGTGATATTCCTTGTATTCATTGATAAAAGAGGGCGTCTTTTCGCTGCCGTGAAGTAGAAGCTCTAAAGTGGACTCTTTATAAGACTGAGTCCATGTCCTGACCGGTAGTTCTGTGATCTCGAATGACTTGCCATCCAAGAGACCCACCTCTCCATTCATGACAAACCTCTGGGTATCGATTTGGATAATAGATCCGCGAAAGCCCTTAAACCAGGGTTGCATCTGTTCGGGCGGTTCCCCTCTAATCATTCGCCGCAAATTCTCCACAATTTCTCTGGGATTATAATTCGGGATTTTAGTGCTCCAACCCGTGCCGATACCCTCCGCCCCGTTCACCAAAACCATTGGCAGAATTGGGACATAATATTCGGGTTCTATCTTCAGATTGTCGTCGTATAGGTTGTTGAGGAGCGGGTCGTCCAGTGCCGGGAATATCTTACGCGCCAATGGGGACAACATTGTGAAGATATATCGAGGACTGGCGGCGTCTTTGCCTCCCTGGAGACGGGTTCCGAACTGACCGATCGGTTGCAAGAGATTGATGTTATTACTGCCCACGAAATTCTGGGCCAAACCGATGATTGTGGACATGAGTGATACCTCCCCGTGATGGTAGGCGCTGTGCTCACCCACACTGCCGGATGGACTCTTTATAAGACTGAGTCCATGTCCTGACCGGTAGTTCTGTGATCTCGAATGACTTGCCATCCAAGAGACCCACCTCTCCATTCATGACAAACCTCTGGGTATCGATTTGGATAATAGATCCACGAAAGCCCTTAAACCAGGGCTGCATCTGTTCGGGCGGTTCCCCTCTAATCATTCGCCGCAAATTCTCCACAATTTCTCTGGGATTATAATTCGGGATTTTAGTGCTCCAACCCGTCCCGATACCCTCCGCCCCGTTCACCAAAACCATTGGCAGAATTGGGACATAATATTCGGGTTCTATCTTAAGATTGTCGTCGTATAGGTTGTTGAGGAGCGGGTCGTCCAGTGCCGGGAATATCTTACGCGCCAATGGGGACAACATTGTGAAGATATATCGAGGACTGGCGGCGTCTTTGCCTCCCTGGAGACGAGTTCCAAACTGACCGATCGGTTGCAAGAGATTGATGTTATTACTGCCCACGAAATTCTGGGCCAAACCGATGATTGTGGACATGAGTGATACCTCCCCGTGATGGTAGGCGCTGTGCTCACCCACACTGCCGGCCAGTTGTGCCACTTTTACTTCCCGTTTGTCATTGCGCTTAAAGCACGTGAACATCACTTTCCTCTGACCCGGTTTAAGGCCATCCATAAGGGAAGGAATGGAGCGCTCGTTATCCATATTACTGAAGAGAATGAGCTCTTTGTTGACAAAGTCTTTGTACGAAATGCTTCGGGTATTGCTTTCGTATAAATAGACTTCAGGTAAACCCAGTTCTCTCCGCTTCTTGCGGTCTTCCATACTGTTTGTCAGCCAATCCTTTCTCTGTTCAACCATTTTCTTACTGAACGCCAACATCACTGCGTGATCGTCATCAGCGCCGGTATATTTAAATGTGATCCTATGTCTCCTCATATCCGTGAAGTACTCTTTGGCCTCATTTGAAGTGGAAGTACCCAAACCTATTGGACATGATTCGTAAGTTACAGGGAATGGTAGGACAGTATATAAACAGTATATAAATGATAGGACAGTAGATGCCAACCCTTATAGTACTTGACTTTCCAAGCGCTCCAATTGTTCTCTTTCTTCCACTCTTCAAATTCTGGTAAACTATAGAAAGACTTCACTTCCGATCCTTTGGACACTTTGACGATAGGAGTGATGAACTCCTCCAAGAAGTTCAGTTCCAAGAGTTTGGGCCAATTGTGATGAATAAAGTTGATGAGCAGACCCTTGATGTGTGAGCCGTCCTGGTCCTGATCGGTCATAATCATGAGCTTTCCGTAACGCAATGTCCGTAAGTCATCGGGCGTTGAATATTGCTTCTTGTATTGAAGGCCTAATATTTTGATCAAATTATTGATCTCCGCGTTCTCCAGAATCTGTTTATGTGTCGCTTCCCTAACGTTAAGCATCTTTCCCCTCAACGGAAAGACGCCGTATTTGTCGCGACCGATCACTCCCAGTCCGGCCACCACTAAAGACTTTGCGGAGTCGCCTTCCGTTAGGATAAGCGTGCAATCGATCGAGTGTTTAGTTCCGGCGTCGTTCGCGTCCTCCAGTTTGGGAATGCCTTTCAGTTTCGACAGTTTCTTTGAGTGGCACTGTTTCGAGAGCTCTGTCTGAGCCTTAAACCGAACCCAAGACATCACTGACTCCACGACTCCTATCTTATTGACGGCATTGAAGAACTTGTCGTTCGGAACGCATTTAGAGCCGAAACTCTTCACCTGCAAAGTCATCGTCTCTTTAGTCTGTGAATCAAACGATGGGTTTTCGATCAAACAGTTCACAAAAAGCCACAAATGGTTCTTAATCTGGAAGGGCTTGACGTTAACGCCCGCCTTATTCTTCTTCTTAATGATGTCCACCATTTTAGCCACAATCTGATCGGACACGTAGTCAATGTGTTTACCACCTCTTGTGGTGGCGATACTGTTAACGAAACTGATTTGTTGAAAGCCTTTGTCGCTGACAGTGGCGGCGATCTCCCAGCGATCGTTCACCAACTCGTAGGCCATCTTCAGAGGGCTTCCGCTCTCGTCTTCTTTATCTTTGATGAAGAGGTCGACGTAATCCTTGAAGCCATTGACGGCCAGCCGTTTGCCGTTGAGGAACACTTTGACGCCTTTGGAACTGCCGGCGCAGTCGTACGCCCGGCGCGAGAACAGAGCGACGATGTCTTTGTCCAGTGAATCCATATTGAACTTCGAGAGGTCGGGAGAGAACGTGATTCGCGTGAAGTCCTCACCCGAAGCGGTCGTGATCTTCGGCTCTTTGGTGTTCTTCATGTTGTCGGTCCACACCTGAGAGAAGGCTTTCTTGTATTCCTTACAACTCGTCTCCACTTTGAATCTCGTGCTGAAGATATTGCAGAGCTTAGCGCCGTATCCGTTGCGACCGCCGACCACTTTCTTCTCGTTGTCGTCATAGTTAGAGGACGTCAAGAGGTGGCCGAAGATCAGTGTCGGCACAAACATCTTCTCGTCCTTGTGCTCGATCACTGGAATCCCTTTGCCGTTATTGAAGATCGTTATCTCATTCTTGTCTCTAATGGTCAATGGATTCCAAGGGTTACCACAATTCACGGTTAACTCACAGCCGGACATCACTTACGGATCGATATCAATGCGAATACAAGACATGGATTTATCCCTTTGCTTGTTGTCGGCGGCGTTGACCAACACCTCGTCGAAGATCTTGTAGATCCCGGGAACGTATGAGATGTCCCTCAACTGCATCCCCATCTCGTCGTCAAAGACCCACATTTGCTGTCAAAAAGCAATCAATCATTGGATCCGTCAATACATTAGTCACCCAAACATTGTCTCGTTTGTCACATACTTTGGTCTCCTTCTCGACGGACCCGATGTAAGTGTCCGGTCGCAGCAGAATGTGCTCTAATTGTGTCTTCTTCTGGTATATCCTCTCAACCGATAACTTCTTCTTTGTTTTGCTTTTCGACGGCTTTGTCTCCAAAGAGGCGTCCGAATCGCTGTTATAGCTCTCCGAAGACATTGTCAGTGGTTTGTAGCGTTAAATGCGATCAAATCGTCTGTTGTCTCCAACGATGGGATCAGTTAATCATGGATTCGGCGATATCTTAGCCGGCATTTCAACCAATAATGAGATTCTTCAGCGAAAAGACCGCCATTTTTGTCGATATTATTGTCTCACAATCGGCTCATCACTACAATAGGGGGCACTCGTGTCACTCACTTGGGGTCACGTTGTTTATGACAGACTCGTTATTCTGTGTCACGATTCTGGCAATTCTGGGACCAATTCTTGAGACTTCGGGCTTCAAAGTGGGGCATAAACTGTCACTATCTCTATGCTATTAATTACACCTATGAACACCTATTAATTGCTATGAACTTGATAAAAATACAATTAATTTTATTTAACAGCTCATTTAAATATACATTTATCAGGTTAAATTTCTTATTTTCTTACTTTTGTATAACAATCAAAAGTAATGAATTTGTTAAATGATCGCAAAATATTCTCCCCTCATGTTAAATGTTTTATTCTAACTTAAAACACATGAGTTTCATACGAAACATTTTATTAACATTTAAAATTACTGTGTTTAATTTATTTAATGAAAAACTGTTAATTTAATATATCGAATTACAGTTGCAATAATCATATCAATTATCAAGAATTATTTTTTAAATTCCTAAAACTTAGCACTTATTATGAATACTGCAGGTTTTTAAAAATTTTATTAACGAGTTAACGAGTTGTACTACAGAATGCATAATTTTTGTTATTACTGTATTGTATACAGATTTATCTCACGTGTCAATTTAATAGCTAATTCATTATGATGACACACTATAAATATTTTTAATTTAATTTTTAAACACTAGAGAGAGAGAGAGAGAAAGAAAGAGAGAGAGAAAGAGAGAGAGAGAGAGAGACTTAATAGAAGCAATTTACCAATTTAAGTTAATATAAACTAAATTTAATTGTATGCTTTTTCTTTCATTTATTTGTTTGATTATTTGAATAGTATCAAAATAATTTTTTTAAATATCGATTAAGTTTATTTTAAAAAAAGCTTTCGACTCACAACTCACCCATAAACCTGAATTTGTTTAAAAAAGGTAGATATAGTATAAGTAAATAAATAAGCTTAACTTATTTAAATTAAATTAATTATTTTTTTATTTTGATCGCAAAGAATTTATATATTTTCAAAATAGAAAACAATTGTATATTTAATTAAATGGATGACATTTTTGTGTGAATTTATAAAAACCTTTATAATAAAAATATCATTTATTGGTCGATGTGGTGGTATTTGGCGCTTAGAGTACAGGTATTGTAAGGCATTTGTGAATCAATCTTTCGATTCTGACATTTAAACAAAAGATAACAAAAATGAGTGCAAAGTCTCTGAAAATTGTAATTTTCTTTTTCGTAACAAAAGAAAATGAATTTTTGAGTCAAAATGAGTGCAATTTATTTCAATTTGTTCTCAATTTAAAAAATATTATAAAACAAAAACCTGATCGTTTGAAATGATAACATAGTGTAGCGAAAACTCTTTTAGAAAAATAATTGCAATGAAAATGATTGCATTTGTCGAGTGTTTTCGAAATACCATAATATTGAATGAAATAAAAAAATAAATATAGACTTCAATCAAAAATCCGAAACAAATTTGATTCCACTCTATGACGAGTTAAATAGATTTTTCTTAAATAACAATTGTTAACAATTAATAAAATTTAAAAACATTAAGTTTCGACTAAAATTTCATCAGATCTGTGCAATCGATAGTGAAATAGCGGTGAGAAATGAAATAAATAAAAATGCAAATATAAATACAGTCGACGTCTCAGTTATGGCACTCAACTGATGGCAAACCTAATTATGGCAAAGAGTGGCATAAACTGAATATCGACTGCAATTGAAAAAAGTTAACTCTTGAATAGGAAATGGAATTTTGAAAAACTTAAAAAACATTCATTCAGTCATTTTTGGCAAACATTTCCATCGGAGGAAAGTCTTCACTGACAGAGCAGTCGGATATCAATCCCTGTTCGCAGCGTTTTTGCCAATAAGAGGCCCGTTTCAGTATTGATGGACTATATTTGCGATCATTTGTTAGATTGGCTTTAACTTTGTCGACACCATTTGATAAGTTGCCAGAACCTGACCGAACACTACTGGTGCTGCTCTCATCGGAAGCGTATCTGAATAAATGGTTTCCAAAATTAGTATAATTTTATAAAATATTAAACTTTTATGTGACAAACCCTTCGTTAGTAGGACTGCACGGATTGGAAGTACTACTCGATTCGCTCTCAATAAGACTAACGGGTCGACCATTTTGGTGACCATTCATATCCATTCGGTTTCGTTGAGTTCTGGGAAGGTTTAGTTGAGACATCTGACGAAACTCTTTGGTCAGACTCCTCGCAGTCAGACTATGGACCTGATAATGAGTGAGCCGTTTAGTGTTAAACCGTTTTAAAAACAATCAAAATTTAGTCCTTATAATATGTGTTCGCAATGAAATACCTGTGCTGGCAAGTCAACTAATTATTGCACACCACATGAGCTTTAAGCGTTCAAATTACGGTATATATAATTATTATGCAAATAATTAATTTATTCTGAACTGATGTAAAACATGATAAAGTAATTCAGTGCTCATTAATTCAACAAAAGCCTAATTGTTTTCGTGTTATGATATAAACGGATAATTGCTTTCAGAAACTTAATTATAATAACGTTTTTGCTATTATTTGGCATAAAAATGCATTTTATTATAAACTCCTTATAGAAATATTTGACCAAAAGATTCACTCATTTGTGAAATTATTTGATTTGATGAAACAAACGATACATGATTTTCCCACTAATTATGTAATTATTTTAAAAATTATTGAGAAACTTGTTTCCCATAACTTATTTAAAGTCATAAAATGTGTATAGCTTTGGATCGCACCCTCAGCTCTTTAAAACTCTAGTCAAACATTATTTACATAATCTGTTTGCGTAAAC